GGCAACGCAGGCGAGAACCGCCGCGACGGCCAACGATCTGAATACCTGTAATTACCGAATAAAACAGTTGAGTACCATGGCAAGAATGTCTTTGTATACGACCTAAATATCCACTGTGCGAAAAACAATAGAGGTGTCATATCACTAGCAGGTCAGGAGCTTACACAACTGAGTCAGTGCATAGTGCAGCACACGTACCGTTTTGCTACACATGCTGGTGCTGGGTCGAGATGCAGTGTCCATTGGTCGGGTGGCTCCAGTGTTTATAAGATGGCACTCGGTACGTCCCCGGGAGGGGGCACTTTCGATGGTTCTCATGGGTTGCGCAACGCGATGGTGCTCGCTGCTCCGAGCTCACGCGCCGCGCTGCCCTGCTACCTGCCGCCGGCCGCAAACAGCAGCGAACATCGAGCGAACACCGATACACGCTCGGGGGCAACTATTCAACTTTCAACTCGTGCCTAATTTTAACACGGGTTAAAGAAACAAGTTTATTTCATAATTATTATAAATATTTTATTTTTTTTAAAAACCAATGCAGTTTAATAACGTCGTTTAATTTATTGTCCTTTTTACCGTTGAGTATTTACACAGCGCACCCTAAAGATGCAGATATTTAGTTTATACTATAAAACGATTTGTTATTATATTTTTATGTATTTAAGTCGAGATGCCCACCATTTCACATTAGAACCTTCGCTACCACCTTTCTGAAGGTAAAATTATCTAACTCATGCTTAAGTTCGCTGAGTTTTTTTTTCTGAAAACATATTTACACATTATGTAATAACTTTTTTACTATATTTATTTAGGATTTTTATCAAGTGTTGCCAAATTATAAAATAGGTGCAATCTGGAGGGTATGTTTCTAATATATTTTAATATTGTTACCGAAAGACAGGTATTTTAAGATAAGCAGTAATAACAATTTAGTTATGTTATCGTAACATTGTATAATACGGCTTAACGTTGAAATAGTTACTGTTAATACCTACGGTTGGTCAATCATCTTCGATACGACGGAGATGCAAGTTCGCAATACAGAATTGCATTTATCGTATCTCGATTTCAATAAAATGATCCGTGACAATCGTAAATAAAGTATTCAAGAACATGAAAAGTGATTTCGTTATTTGTCATCGAAACAACTTATTAAGTGAGTGTTTTAATATGGCCTATAATATGTTTAAAAATATTCATAAAGAATTCATAATTATGTGTAATCGTATTGAAGTCGAGGGATTTTACGAACATCGCCGTAACTAATTTCAGCGAATGTGTATGTATGGTGTTCATATTGGCTCTTATCGATGTTTATAAAACTGACGGCAGTAAGTGCCAATCATCAGAGAGAGTATATTTCTGCGTCTAAAACACCAACATTATAACCAGTGATTTGATAAACGGTAAAAGTGTACAAAAAGTTTCGACTCAGTACTGTTACCCTTCGCTATTTACGTTGACTAATAGGGTCTTTGTAGATCTTAATTACAATTTATTGGTGTACGTTCAGTACGGCACGGAGTCGCCTTCAGCCGTCGCAGCTGCGAGGAGTTCGTCACAAGTTCACGTCGCCTCGTTCCCGAAGGACATGTAAACATAAACAGACCTACAAGCCGTCCATACTAACTTTCCGAAAGCCTTTGAAACATGGATATAGGAAACTATTATACATCGCCAGTACAAAAGATGCATGGCAAATTTAAGGTAAGTCTTTTTATGTTTTGCAATTCTTAATTTACTGGTAGCAGATAACAAAGTAGATTTAAATTTTATAATGAACTTCTCATAGTTCTTTTATGAATTAAATAATTGATTTGCATTTTTTAAATATTTCTCGCAATAGCTATGAAGTAATGACATACATATATGCAATTATATTTATAAGCTTGTGTCTTATATTAGTCAAGATTGATAGTATAATTAAATCGAACATATCTAAAATCGAACATATTTAATATTTATAAGATCAATATAAAATACACAATTTCTGCAACGTATTGCTAAATTCAAATAGAATTAATATACAGATTTAATATTTTAATTTATTTAACAAACTGTATGAAGAGACGACTGATGAAAAATCGACAAATTTCATAATTTAATCTAATCTTTAAAAAATGTATTTTGATTAAATGTAAACTGGACCAACATTATTACTATTCAGAAGAATTATAGTGTACTCGAAGCTTCGATAGGGTGGCTTACGATCATAGAGCATATACTCGTATAATAGTCCTCGACAACGCGGCTAACTTATTAAATACAGGGATTAATAAAAAAAAAACAGCATAAAGTATCTACAACCAGATTTAAATAAACGAAAGATAATTCAATATCTCCTTTTTCCTATATGTTGTGATAATTGTTTAGTATGATTAAAAAATATAGCCTTATGTTGCAAACCAGAACACATCTTCAAGTTAACCGCACGGCTACGTAACGGTAACATTCTCTAAGCCGAGGCAATACGTCAAAGGTTGTTTCGTGATGGGGCTAATTATTCTACGAAAGTATAAGCCAGAAAAACATCTCCGTGACCAGCGAGTTGCGATGTAAACCAAATTTTTGCTAAACCTATTACGAAAATGTTAACTGCAAAGCTTTGCAACGATGATTTATGAAGATATTAACAATAACTGTTAAGTATAGGTTCAGTGTGAGCGATAGCACGCTTGAGGTTTATGCTTACTATTAATTTATTAGTTTAATGTAAATACAAACTCATAAATAAACTTGTATATTTTTTACTATGAATAAGCCACGACCATCTTTATAAAATAACGAATTTTATGCCTAGAGTTTGAAAAGTCTAAATCTTGTGATTTAGGATTTGTACTTGACCTGATGGATAGTTACAGATTGAAAACTATTCTAGGATTGTTTAGTAACAAGTTAATTAATATCTTCATGAATAAATAAGTAATTTGATATTGAGATAATTTATAAATGTATCAAGATGTGGGTGTAACGGATGCGATACAAATGTTGCGTGTTTCAAAATGTGTAGAAAAAAGTCAAGTCATTATCTACAATTAGCTCAATAATCTCCGTTCTTTCTATAATACAAGGATACGATTGCGGAAAGTTTCTTTTTTTCATTCAACGAGTAAAGACATTAAAAATATGTATTGTAATGTTAACTTTAATACGAGTTAAGTATGTTACCAGTCATAAAGAGTGTATATGGTTTTTAGTGCATATTACTAAAATTACATCAAATCTAGCATACTTCAGGTTTGATCTTAACAATTCCAAATGTGAAAGGGTTCTATCGTCTAAAGACCGGCATGCAATAGTTATACCCATGTACATGCGAAGAGCAAGTTTATAACCAAACCAAACATGTCCTACAACAACGAAAGTAAATTTTATCTAAGACGACAATAATAAACGTGACACCGATTACTAAATGTATGACTACTATGGTAAATTGAAAACAATGTGATTCAACGGTTATTCTTAATTGTTAAGAATGCGACACAACTAACGCACTCCCATGCTTATGAGTTGGCTTCGAATCTAGGAGTAGCGAGGATCCGGACTCATCCGGTTTGTAGAGGATTCGACTGGAAGCGATCCGGTTAGTTCCGGTCGCCGGAGCGCGCGCTATCGCTAATGCTAGTTTCATACGCGGGTAGTGACCCATAGTAGTATCATAGTATAGTACTACTATAATTTGAACACACACGCTGACATAAGATTACTACGGCTCTGCCTCAGTATTCTACCCTTGTATGAAACTAACATAATGGCTTTCGACAAACTCGCGTCGCACACACCATCAATCTTTAGCTTTAGTACTTAGTACTCGTATTACTGAAATTCACGCGTCTCCTCTATCAGAACTAAAAGGCAATTTTAACGTTATCGATAATAACGTTAAAACTTAACTGGATAATTTAAAAAAAAAATATGGAAAGTACATCTAAAAATTATATTTCTTAATATGGATTAGTGATATCGATATAAAAACGTGTTTACATTTGATAATTTTTATATAAATTGATTTATATTCTCGATGAAAAAATACGCTCTTTTTAGTGATTTATCACACTTCAACTAAATCCTAGGAAATCGAACACTGACGCAAGTTTCCCTTTTAGCCACGGAGTTTCCGCCGCCGCCACCGATTATTTATTTGTTCTAGAATTGGCTTACTTTAACGCGGCCACTTCGTCGGCGTAAAGTATTTAATCGTCGTGGCTTTATTAAACCGATTACTGACTGGAATTGGAAAATCACTAAATGTAATTGATCTAAGACGTTTCTACTAAGAGTATGTTTATTGTACTCGGAAGGTTACTCATTAAACGTGACAAAGACGAGGGAAAGGCTACGTTAATTAAGATTAGTAACGTATGCTACGGTATTGGTATTGTTTAAAAAAACCTTTATTTCATTACAATGACCTCACTAAATCATATCTTCGTAACTTGCACTGTAAACCTATATTAAGAGCTTCTTTTTGGTCTGTTTTTAGGTATTTTTGTTAACTGCAGTGATATTTTGTGGAATAAGTATAGAAACAGCACAAGCTTCACCAAATTTAACAAAATATAATACGTCAAGATCAAATGAGCATGTGGTTCAAAGAAACGAGACGCCTACGAGTGAACTATTTCATTGGGAGGACTACAGCGTGCTGGCCACGATGTTACTAGTTTCGTGCGGTATTGGAGTTTTCTACGGCTTCTGTGGCGAGAAACAAACGTCAGGCGATGACTTCTTATTGGGCGGTTCATCAATGGGCACGTTTCCAATGGCCCTAAGTTTGGCTGCAAGGTAATATGCTGAAAGCTTTACTTTTTAATTCATGATTTCTACATGCATTGCAAATGAGTTTACGCGATCTATGGTACTCAGAATAAGATTTTTTGTTTTAGTTTCATAACGGCTATAGAATTGCTAGGCAACCCAGCGGAGATGTACATGGCGGGAGCGCAGTTTTGGATGATCTGCGTGTCGTTCGTACTGGTCGTGCCGATAGCAAGCCAACTCTACTTGCCAGTCTTCATGAGATTGCGTTTAACATCCTGCTATGAGTATTTGGTATTTTAACAATTGCTCTCTTTATTTCAAATAATAACTTTTCAACACAATAACTTTAAAATACGTGTGATAGTAACTCACATATGGAGCATAGATATTATAAGTTCAGATGAGACTATCTACGATATTTATCTCTTCAAATCATTGTTCAATGTTTTTCAAATGTCAATACACAGTGTAAATAATAAAAAGAAACAATATATGAACAATATTGAAATATTTGAAAGGTATTGCGCGATCATAATTATCTGTATTAACAGTTGTTTGTGATGCACTTTTAGGAAATAAGGTTTTGCAAGTCGATGCGAGTGTACGCGAGTTCGCTATACATGCTGCAGATGGTTCTGTACACAGCCGTTGCCGTCTACGCGCCCGCATTAGCGCTCTCCGATGGTAAATAATGAAACAATTTTTACTCTAAAACGATCTTTTATCAATCAAATTCTGACTTTTATACATCAAATTCGGTTTTTTCCACATTGCATTTTATAGTTATTTATAATTTTAACGATTTTTTTATAGTTAAAATCCATAGTTTAATAACTTACTTATGCTCGTAACTCTTAATTATTTTATTTCCATAATAAAAGATAACAAGAACTTTTATGAACATACTTATATTTTCATATAATAAAGAAGATGTAAAAAAATACATAAATGTAACTAGTACAGCACCTGTGGAAATTAAAAAAAATTATAAACGATGTAATAATTACCATCACGTAATTAGAAAATAGTGGCAGAGTTTATTCTTTGAGATATCTATTCGAAAATCTAAATTACGCAAGCCTTCTTTAGAAATAGCGAAATGCAAATTAAATACAGTTACAAAACATTTAAGCGACAATTAGATTACATCGCGAAATAAATGCTATTGTACATATGTCTTCGAGAAAATATAAATTTTGGATTATAAAATGTAATTATTGGTAATCGATATTAAAATTTACATTAAAATTAGTTCCACATTTGTCCACAATATGGCGCGTTTTATATTTCGGTCTGGCTTCTACATCTAAAACGATTTAAAGTACATAAAATATCGAATACGATTGCTTAAATAATTATACAGAGTCAATTCGATTAATAAAATTTAAATGATTACCTTACCATGCGTTTCATAATATTTTTTATCGTCAATGCCTCAATCAATATAACTACGTCGGTACCTCACGAGCAATTAAAGAATTTCTAAATGTTTGGAATGTTAAAGATTTGAACGTTTTTTATCCCCATTCATTTTTTTTATGGTTGCTAAATTCTACTAATATTTCTATTAACAAGCTACCTTTCAAATTAAATTCAATTTCAATTCAATAAAATTCGGATTAAATAATAACTACTTATTATTAATTACCGAGTAATTTTTCTGGTAAGGTTTAATTAAGGCTGTCGTAATAGTTTGAACGCACTGCTAGTGTTAGGATTCGGGAATCCGAATAAAAAAAGAATGTAGTCACAAAAGCTACAGAAATTGTTTGTTTTAATGAGTAATTAAAGTCGCAATGGGGCTATGTGTTTGTACTGAAAGTTTTCTTTGTACCATTCAAAGGTTGAATTCTTACATGTCCATTCCTACGCAATAGATACCTAAAACTACCAAAATTAATTCGATCCACGACCCACACCATCTATTTCATAGTCTATTAGCACCGTACAATACGATAGCAATCTATGTTCGTATACCAGGACAAATTTTACCTTTCATACGTAACAATATTACTATTTTTATTAACCACCATGCTCTTTACCTATAAATATAAAATTTAATGATATTGTATTTGTTAGTATTGTATTAGAAATAGATGTTAAATTTACATAAAGTAAAAAAGTGTTATTAATTCTGAATTCCTATGCAATATTGCACTACGCAATCATTAATTGTGTAGAAATATTGTGCATAATAATACTAGGACTTTGAAGATCTAAGAAAGACGTGGCTATTCAAACAGTATTGTACGAAGTAGATCACAAATATCACCGTGAGTAATATTTGTCGATTTTTATGAAAAAAAAAACTTGAAACTTTTTTATGATAAACTTATTATGATAAACTTTTCCAATATGTTATACATAAAACGGTACAGGATTCATATTGAAGATAGCATGTTAGCAAAACCTGTCATAAGCTTAACATGAATAGCTTGCGTAACAGTAAATAACTATTGGCTACAGGGTTAATGTCAGGCACATGAATATAATAGATATAAATTACATCACTCTTTATGTATTCAAGAGGGTCAACTCTTGCTAAACGAATTCGCAGTAGTTATACGACGTTATACTAAATATGTCTTTACTATCGGTTGCACAAATTTTATTATCATTGTTTGAAGCAGCCGATGACGGATGCCACCCATAAGCGATGCCAAGGGTCATACCTTTACGTGCAATCGACACAGCATTGATTGCATCTAATGGTCAGTAATGACGGGCTTATAGTGCCGGCTTTCTACCAGGTCTCCTGGCATTATGTCCTACTGATCTTAGAGTTGACTAGGTTATGTCTATAAGGAAGTAAACGTATACCGCCAATTCTATGAGACTGGCAGTTTAAATGATTTTCGTATAAAACATACCTAGTTATTAATAATTGATTAGAATAGTGTACGCTGGTACAACAATAACGTTAATATTTTTCTAATGACGCCAATTGTCATCTCGCCTGGATCGGTTATAAAATTAGAGCACAAAAGATGAAGCTTCTAAAACATCTTATTTATAAATGTAACCAAGCTATGAATTTAAGGTCAATGACAACGACTTTTGTAATTTCATTCGAGTTTGTTTTTTTAATAGTTTTTACTATTTTGGTACGCATCAATGCACGATAAATATGCCGTTCGTGTCCCTAGTTAAAGTATGCTCAGTGTGTATTAATTACACAGAATTAGATAAAAATAATTAAACTCAATTTCGACATGTTTTTATTCCTTCTAGTCTAGCATGTTAGTAGTAGATAATTTGTTTTACAAATTATATTTTCGAATACTTCTAATCAAATGACATGTTTATTAAATAATAGATTAGAAATGTAAGATTTGTGGATAGTTATTTTAATCTTGAAAATTATTTTCAGTAACTGGATTAAACACTTACTTAGCAGTCTCACTGGTATATGTGGTCTGCATATTTTATGCATCACAGGTAAAAACATACAATAATTTCTAATACTTTTTTGGTTAAAGTTATTAAAATTAATTTTCTTGTGTGTTCTATTGTGTAGGGTGGTATGAAAGCTGTGATAATGACGGACAGTTTTCAATCGGCCGTGCTACTCGGGTCGCTTGCCACAATCCTCATCATGGGCGCCGGAAAAGCGGGCGGACTCGATGCGGTTTGGGATTATGCAAGATCTACGGATCGACTACATTTTTTTGAGTAAGATAAGCAAAGAGAATTTTATTGTTTTTACATTTCAAGATTTAAATGATGAATCGATCCAAAGACTATACTAATTTAATGTTGACTCGAATTTAGTCAAGCACGCTAATTTCGAACTGATTGATAAGTTTTTTTGTGTTTCTTTTTGTCAGTATGAACCCAGACCCGACGGTGCGGCACTCATTCTGGACGGTGGTGGTGGGCGGTACCATGTACTGGCTGAGCATGTTCTGCGCGAACCAGGCGTCCGTGCAGAAGTACCTCTCAGTGGAGCGCATAGCGCAGGCCCGGGTTGCGCTCTGGGTTTCAGCGTGCGGCTTGCTCGCGGTCTACTCCGTCAATTTCGTCACCGGCGCCGTCCTCGCCGCGCACTACGCCGACTGCGATCCCATTAAGGTGAACGCGACACGAATTTTATATACGCCAGGTTCACACGTTTGTTTTCAACGATTGCAGCGAATGTAGAACTTTCGCGACTTGTGTGACCTCATTTAGATCTGTTGCTATTGTTTTTAGGATTATCACTTGTCTGGATGTTAAGCATCTTGAACAACCTTAAATAAAAATTGAATTGGTATGATAGCATACCTCATGTTAAGATACAATTTTAAAATTTTAACTAAGTTTAATAAAAACCTAGGTCTTGTATGGTTCTTAAATACGTATGTTAATATTTTTGAAATAAATATTTACCAAAGGCTGGTGTGATCAACGCATCAGACCGGCTGCTGCCTCTATACGTGGTGCGCGAGCTGGGCACTTCCCGCGGCGTTCCCGGCTTCTTCGTTGCTGGCATATTTGCTGCAAGTCTCGGGTAACTCACTTCATACTTTCACAAATTTAAATTACAACGTAAGATACAGTTTAAACTGTAAAAGAACTGAAATTCAAAAAAAACTATCTTAACTGAACTGACAATCCGAGACGTTTGACATCGGTCTAGTAACTGGCTTAGATTCAGCTCAATTCCTAAATTATGACTTAACTAGAAAAGACCAGTTGCCATACCAGTTTCAATTCAATGTACATGAGTTTTAAATTAGGTCTGTAATTCGCACAATGGCCTGAAGCAAACGGTAACAATTACATGTCGTTTTTAAACTCAATTGGACATTTGATTAAAAAGTAATTAAAGGTTATTTTTGGAAAAAGAATTATTTTTTGAAAGTTTTTGGATAGTCTTCAAATAAAAAAGAATGCATATCAATTTATAATAAAACGTTTTAGGACGGTAGCATCTGCGTTGAACTCATTAGCTGCAATCGCATGTCAAGATTTGTTCACTGGCCTTCTCGGAATAACTTTACCCGAGAATAAAGGAGCGACAGTAAGTAGTAAAATAAAACGCGATATTTACATTATAGCTTAACTTTATTAAGTTACAATTAATAACTATAGTAAAGTTTGGTATTCGTTATTGTTTTTTTTTATTTTTAAAAGAAGGGGGCAAACGAGCGGCGGGAACACAGAGGTGGTCAACGACGCCCATGGACATCCGCAACAACAGAGGAACTACTAT